AGTGATGGATTACCGCATAGGCCCGTGAGGCCCGGGCCTAGGGCCGCATATTTGAGGGGGCGGCAAAATTTTGAGAACGTTAAAATTCAAGAGCCGAAGAAATATATTAAAAATTTATTCTTAAATTGGTTCTGATTTTTTCAAATCCATTAAAACTTTTTTATGGGCTATAACATAATTCATTTCTTCATTGATTTATCAATTTAAGGGTGCATTATTAATATTTTAATGAAATCCAATTATAGTCTTTATCGAACAAGGTTATCAAAAATAAACAATCTAATTAATAATCATTTATGCGAATTACTAAGTAAGTTTTTACTTTTGTATCTTTAATGAGATTACTCTTACAATATAAACCATTTGAAATTAATGGAAATTTTTAGTTGCCATTGAGCTTCTTGTTGAGTTTGACCCGTTTTTAGAGGAACATTTAAAATTGTATGCACACCCTGGCCGTGGAAATACCTCGTACTTATCTAAAACAGTCTATGAAGGAATTATATTATTAATTCAAAATAAAGTATTGCTAAAGTATTTCTAAAGAAGTGCAATCTGCTAAGTATTTTGGTGTAATTGTAGATTCTACACCTGACATTGCACATTTGATCAGCTCACGATAATTATTAGATATGTACGTGAGAACGGTGAAATTGTTGAGAGATTTTTAGAATTTTTACCAAATACTGGGCATAAGGCTAAAGATATTGAAGATGTTCTATTCAAATTTCTTGAAAATAATTGTTTGGACATAAAGAACTATCGTGGTCATGGTCAATCTTACGATAACGCAAGCAATATATCAGGTTTATATTCAGGAGTGCAGTCAAGAATTAGAACGATTAATCCATTACCAGAATATGTTCCTTGTTCTGCCCATTCTTTACATTTAGTAGGAACTTTTGCAGCTGAATCCGTCACCGAAACAGTTGACTTTTTTTCTACTTTGTAAGAACTTTATAATTTTTTTACGGTATCAACACATCGTTTTGAAATCTTAGTGCAACATACAAGTTTAAGACACTGAACTTCATTGCACAAAATCGTGATGAAAAACCGACCACGCGAGCTAAAGCTACAGGACTGCAGCGAAAATTACAGCATCTAGAAACGGCAATTTTGGTCATAGTTTGGAATGTTATTTTAGAACGTTTCAATGCTGCTAGTAAGAAGCTTCAGGAATCTAATGCAGATTTATCATCTGTAGTACAAATTTATGGTTCTTTGGCGTTAATTCTTCAAGATATGAGGGACAAACAATACTCTGAATATGAAAAAAAAGCAAAAGCACTGTCTGGAGTTCAAGTGTATTATACGTGTTGCAAGAAAACCAGAAAGATTCAGACAGATGAGTCACGGGTGAATGAAACAGTGCTTTCATCTCGTCACGAAAATTTTCGCACCAATGTGTATTATCGAATATTAGATACCTTAAGCGTACAATTGGCCGGACGTCAAAGTGCTTATCAGAAACTTTACGAGAGTTTAAGTTTTTTTGATAATTTATCTGACATAGATACAACTGAATTGAATAGTCTTGCGAATAAATTAGTTAAAAAGTATCCTAATGATTTGGATGAGACATTAAGGAATGAATGCATTCATTTACAATGTCAGCTCAAAGATTCTCTAGAAAATTCGGAAGATTTACGCTCTGCACGAGAAATATACAATGTATTGCATTCTCGAAATCTTCGAGATATTTATCCTAATGTCGACATTGCTCTACGTATTTTTTTGAGTATACCTGCTACCAATTGTTCCGGGGAAAGGTCTTTTTCCACCTTAAAAAGGGTTAAATCTTATTTACGCGCAAGTATGGGCCAAGATAGACTCAATGCTTTGGCATTACTGTCTATTGAAGCTCAACTAGTTCAAGAAATTGATTACGATGACAAAGTTGATGCTTTTGCTCGGACAAAAGCCAGAAAGAAGAGATTTACAAACTGAGCAATACATTATTATTTGAGAAAAATGTTTATTAACAGTGCATTATAAGTATATTTTGAATGTATACAAAGAAAAGGGAATGAGCAATCCCATATTTGGGAATTACACACGATATTAGTCAATGATATAAAAATAAATTGCCAACAATTGAATCAATATTATACAGAGTGTATTTAATGAATACTGTGTCCAGTATTTATGATGTATGATTTGTATGCTATTTATTCTATTATCTATCTTCCCCTTGAAGATGATCACTTGGTGGTCGAAACACGTGTCGAGGTGTTAAAAATAACGATTTGGTGTTGGGAAAAACTCCAGTAATATTCATTGGAAGGAATGCTTTGCTTTTCAAGAATAATTACTTATATTCTCTCGTGAATAATTATTACCTCTCTCTCAGTATTCCTTAGTAATTCAGCAATCCTTAGTAATTCTAATTGTTAGTCGTTTTCAATTATCACCTTGTATGGTGAATTTCCATAATTTTGATGACGATCAGGTATGCAAGAACTATCATTTTCGATACCCCTGGTACTTGATAATTCCAAAGGTGAACGTGTTTAATGGCATAGTGAAGAATCTGAATAGGAGGGAAAACATTGTTCATTACACCCTGTGTGACCTCGTTAAGGCGTTCGGAAGTGTGTCTCATCCTTTTGTTATGGGAAAAATGGAATTATATGGTGTAAGAGGAGTCGACCCAGAGTCGTTTTAATCGTGTTGAACACAATGTCCCCCAAGAGTTAATATTTTATTCATTTTTATTCTTCAGTTTTGATTGTAACCTCAATTTTTACATACACCCTATGAAATGTATTCAGTATGATGATGAAACATCTTTGATATGAAAACATAAAGACATTCACAATTCATTGAATTGACCTGGGAGATACTTGATGACAATCCATATTAAAAAAACTAATCAATACAGTTCATTTTATAGTTTTCTCTATAAAGGGTTTTACAAAAACCGCGACACGTGTTTCGCTATGCAATAGCTTCCTCAAGCGCGGTTTTTGTAAAACCCTTTATGGTGAAAATCATACAATAAACTGCATTGATTAGTTTTTTTTCATTCACAACTCAATTCGAAGTTTATTTTTGCAGAAGGAAAATCTTCTTCTTGGTTTTCAGCAAATAAATTCAAGCTGAAAAGAGACAGAAGTCAAAAGTTGGTTTCCTCTTGAATTTTTTATAACTCAGGAATCATCAGCGCTAAATTACTCGCGGTCAGTTTTGGATAACAACCACGTTATAAACTGCGTTTATGTGGAATAAACTTCCTGAGAATGTTTTTCCGAATTGATTGATTGGACAGATATGAATGTAACGATTATCTGGTTCGAATCTGAACACTCTCACTTTTTTTATTGATTTTTGAGGTTTGAACGAGGCTGATAGAAACTGAGATATCTCTTCATAATCTTGGAAACGATCCGCGATCGTGCATATATTCAATCCAATTTAATCAACGAATAATTGAAAAAAAAAGATGAAATTCAATAAAAAGATACACACGGTTTACCACTGTTATTTACCATTCATAGCAGCTTGCAAATGAACACTTTGAATGACCATCTGGGGTACCACAAGGTTTCCACCTTGATCATTTTGACGCAAATGTCACATTTTAATTTAGGAAGAATGAACTTCGAGAAAACAACATTGATAATACATCAAAGTCATTTTCAAATGGAATTAAAGCTATATATAAGTTCAAGATTATCGACCTTTAAGACTTGAATATCCTTAAGACTACGATACCTTATAAATAAACAAAACAATATAATGTTGCGTCTATGGATCATTCAAATGAGAGCCTCACTCAAAATTACTTAGGAAAAAATTGAATCCTGTACAGTAATAAAATACTTGGGAAACGTCATTGAAATTTCATAATTTCTAAATTCACAAATCGATCAGTTTTATGGGAATTAAAATATTTTTATGTAGTCACCGAGTTAACAAGTTATGGTCTCTTGGAAATCATGATAAAACCGAACAATACTCGTTGATTAAAACGTTTATTCGTTCTCATTGTTACACAAAATATATGCCAGTGTTTGACATTGAATCATAATCTGATTATGGGTAATCGTATTCATTGAATTGTTATTTATGGAATGTTACATATAGGAATTGTTTACAATAATATTCTTCTGAAAAGTGAATTATCGTTAAA